CAAATTTTTTTCTTTCCAAAAATGATCATATTTCTTTTATTTTAATTGCTCGAGTTCTAGAAAATTTAGTAACATAAGATTCTACATACATAATCTTTGAAAGCTAAGCTATAAACCAACATAAATTTTCTGTATAATTATTATGTATGTTTTTGCGTAAATGATGTATTTAGGGTGTCCGAAACTTTTGCTAAGGTACTGTATATATAACTATACAATAATGTATTATTAAGCATGTTTAATTTTATTACTAATACCTTATTTTTTTTTTATAAAGCTCTTCATAAACCAGCGCGTGGTGTAGATTATATAGGTAATTACTATGTTCGCTCACATATATAAGTTTCTTCTTCATAAATGATTGGTATAATAATAAATAATAATAAAATAATCATTATAAAGGCAAAACAACAACAAGCCATGACGAAATCAAGAGAAGATTTTCCATCTTCAATAATTTTTTACGCGTATTGCTTTCCTTTGGAGAATAAAGGAGAGGAAATTTACAGGTGTTACTTATTCTCATCTTTCTCCATAGACGCACAAGGCTAATCTGACCTATCGACCCTGACGAAACAATGATCTAAACCCCAGGGGGGAATGTGGTTCTGGGGTTACTAGCTGCATTATTGTCAAGTGGATTCTAGTCTTCCCTTGCGGCACCTGGGCTGAGGGGACGATAAAGGTCAACCTTAAAGCAACCCTTGTGGGACCATTCACTTGTACAAAGCATCCAAACATATGGGGACCTTCACCTGTGTAAAACAATCAAAACAATTGCACAGTACGAGGAACAAGAACATTAAGGGCTTATCTTGGTTATGGCACAATCATGAGACAATTTGCCAAGGACTGTGTGAAGACCTGGATAACTAGCTAAAAATTTGGTTTTTTTACAGACAAGTTAAATCAACCATTAATTAACTAATAACACAACTTATTATCCTTACTTTGCATCAAAAATCAGTTCATAAAAATACAATATAGATACATGTGTAATATATTTTTTTTTTGTCTGACGAAATTGATAAAAATTGCATATTCATGTTTTTTTTTATTAAATTTATTTATATACACGAAAAAAATTTTTTTAAAAAAATAACAAAAAAAAATTTTAAAATGAAATATTATGGACAATGCCCCGAGGAAACTCTAATTAATCTAATGTTACGGTCATTTAATACTATTTGAATCCGTATTTCACGATTACGATCTTGTGGTTTCTGTGGAGGTCGTGGTGTTCCTCGCAAGACCATTTCTATTTCAAGTTCGGCTTTACTTTGATTGTCCCAGACCCGTTTTTTTGACAGTGATGACAAATGACTAAATGACCTCAAATGACTCAAATAACAAATGACTAGTCATTTAGGTCATTTGAGAGTCAATTTTAAATGACACTGTCACTTACTGATCTAATCATATTATTTGACTTTAAATTCAAAATTTTAACATTTAATCAAATGAATTTACAAAATCAGGCGATTCTAAATTATCATTAAAAATACTACACAGACTCCATTTGGCAATTGGATCTACAAATATAAATTCTAAAGGATCAGAAATATCTTCATTATCATTATCCAATTTTGAATAAGTTCTACCCAATGTTCAATTCTGTTAATAAAATTACCAGTTCCTTCTTCAAAAACATCTAAATCCTCCTCTTCTCCTTCAAAAGATGCTAGAGTTCAGTCATTATTTTCAATATTATCATCTCTATCATATCATTAGTTACTTCATTTGCATCAAGCAGGTCATCTTCATTATCATCATTAACAGATTCTTTGATTATGGGAATTGCAATGTGATTTCTTTTATAAAGGTTTCCATATTTTTTAATTTCCAACTATTTTTTCTTTTGAAATAATTCACTCCTCAATTGACACATTTCAAGAACTTTTTCATGCTTTTAATAAATAGATCTTTAATTTTTATTAATTAATCTTTTATAATAAAACTTAAAGTTGAAAACTATTTTTTTTAGGCGGGAAATTATTTCGTCAAATCATTGTTAATTTCGTCACATTTGGCGAAATGGTAAAATGTGGTAAATTGACGAAATGTGACGAAAAGAAGAAAATGAGGAAATATGGCGAAAAGGAGATATTGTAAAGAAAAATTTCTTCATTAGAATGCCACACGATAGTCAAAACTAATCAAGATGAATCAACTTGCGAATTTTCTGATAATAATTATGATCCAAATGATTTAGTAAAAGATATCTTTGTTGAAGATGAATTTGAAAGTGAAGATAATTCAGAAAATAGTTATTATTGTGAAGTTAATGAAACCGATAGAAATATTATTTAGGACAAGAATGTTATGATATTGACATTGATAACAATTCTGGAAATAATACAAATGAAGATGATGATAATAATTCTCAAAAATTAGTTAGAAAAAATGCAAACTAGAAGAAACACAATTTACGTAGCTTATCCAAAATTGACTCGGCAAAAGAGTAAACAATTAAAAAATCCATTAAATTTTCTCTTAAAATAATATTTTAAATGTAAATCAAGTTTAAATAAAAATTATTATTGCAGATTATTACAAAAATTTTCTTTGTGAAATTTTTTTTTGTCAACTTTTTCGTCAATATTCTCTTTGCGATAATAACAACATAACAAGCACACCAATTAATTAGACGTTTTTTCGATCATAATATTTGCATAATTTCTCTGATAAGTAGGCCCTGAATTGATGTCAGGCACGTAAGTGCCATTGTTCCATAATAAAATAAGCTTAATCGTTTTTATACAACATGCTTTTTATTTATTTGTAAAAAAGAAGATCTGGTGTTTGCACAATAATACACGATATTAAATTAGGATGTTTTGCACTCATTATTTGGCGCTAAATTATTTTAGATAGCTTGATCCAAGATATGGAAGATAATACTGCTTGCAAAGAATAAAGTGAAAGACTTATATTGCGGACATAATCATGTCTTTACTTCATATTAGTCAGGAAAATATGCCTAATGAGAATATCTATTTGAGCATGTAAATGGATTTTTTTAATATTTGTCAACACCCAGCTTTATTGTTATGAAATAAAAACATTGCCAACAGCAACATTCATAGTAATTTTGATGTAATTAATTACTTTTCTGTGATGAAATTTCATGCTATTTATTCAAAATAAGAAACGGAATCATATCCACATATGCTCGAGATTTTTTATGTCTACGCAACATTATCGAAATTACTTACCCGCTTACTTACTTTTAACAAAATGGCAAATGGTAGTGTCGACTTCCATCCCTATAATAGGTAAATAAAAAAATTACAGCCGGGTTCTGCCAAAATTCTTCCGACTTTGGTATCAGAGCTATGTTTCATTCACAATTTGTCAACGCTTTATTTTTATAAAATTTGCGAAATTTATTGCATCATGCATCTTATACAAATACATTTAATAATATAAAACTAAATTATTTCGTTCGCTTCTAGTCCATATTGCTCCTTTATCCATTGCTTAGCTTTATCCATATGCTCCCGTTCTTTGAAATGTAAATACAAAGTCGTACTATTTATCCATTTTAATCTAGAAAACAAGTTGAAATTAATAAAACATTGCATTGCCTCTATGTTTGTCCACTTTTCAAGTTTCTCGTTGATAAGCTCAAGAGTATACACTTTCTCATTGGGAGTATGTTCATCCCCATATGTAAAAATTTTATAGTGACAATCCAGCTGACGAAAATCTTTCTTCTGAAAATCATTGGACGTAGCTATTGGAAATAAATTATTTTGTGTATATTTCAGTTGAGATGGTAAAAAGGATTTTAGTGCAGGTAGATAAAAAAGTTTCGTAAAATTTGTATTTTCACCTGATTTCCAGAACCATACTTCAACAATCCAATTATTTTCTATAGCATCTACTATGGGGTATTCATAATCGCCATCGCCTGCTATTAATACTAGTACACCTGGAGTATTTTTTTCAATTGTTTTTTGCATAGCACAAGCAAGTCTAACATCGACTTTTTTCTCACGGTCTTGAGAGTTTCGCTTGTATACAGCGACATCAAATCCTAATTCCCGAATATATTTCCACATCGAATCTTCACTAGGGGGTTTTGAACCGACTAGAAAGGGGTTGGCACCCAGCGGACGTCCATTTTGAACTATTTTGAGAAGCTGTCCATGTTCGATGCGAATTAGGTCATAGTAATGAGTTCCTCTTTTTTTATCGATAGTGCCTAACTTTTCAAGATGTCCAACAGAATATTTCCCTTCGATAAAAAGGTTGGAATTGTCAATAAAAAGGTATACTTTCTTATCTCCTTCTTCCCTCATAATAGGAGTGTTTTCTGATTCCATTACTTTTTTTTGTTTAAAAGCAACATCCCAATTTTATATCTTCTACAGAACTCGCCAAGAGGTTGATAATCACTGCGGGAAACGACAAAAATGTACGAATAGATTCCTTTTGGAATGTTGAGAGAACAAGTAATAAATAAGTTCCCCCTTTTATATCCACCTGATATGGATAGTTATGAATGGGATCTATGGACGATCTCGGATGATTTTCCCACAAGTATACTAATCTAAATACCATTAATTAGACGTTTTTTAATGGGCAATCTTATATAAAAATCAATTCCTAGTGGTGCGAATTTAGAAATTATTGCGAGAGTAGGCTCGAAGGGACGATTTTTCGAATCGTGAGGCTTCAGGAAGTTAATTTGAAGATGAGTATTATTAGTATATTACCGATAAACATGAAAGCATGCTTATACTATATATATTGTTCGTCTTGTTGTATGAATAACCAGTCTCTTAATAATCTTACCTGTCCTAGTAATTGTCTACCGGAAGATTATGATGAAATTTGGAACGAAATACATATGGCAATTTGCCTTGCACAATGCTTAGAATGCGGACGTTTTTGTGAATATGAAACAGATTTAATACCACCGGAATATCTTTACCATCTCTCTTCCTGGATTGACGTCAAAAAAAAGCTTAATGCATGGAGTGCACTTTCTCCAAAAGATCGTTCTTATATAACAGCAATACACACATCTTATTTCGGAAGAAATGGTATTCGTGGAGTCGTGAATTTTTTCTTGCACGTGATTTTTTACGATATTTTGAATAAATCTATTTTCATATATAAACAAGAACTGCCCAAGATCAGAACGTTTACTAAGAATTGACACATAAAAAACAATTACATTCCAAATAGCGTTCGTTGTGTTGTGAACAATTATT